AGAGTGTTAAAGATTTATCCCTTGATGTTTCCAAGATATTTACTTAAAGTTTTCCATAGTTTATCTCTTTTCTATACAGTGTATGTAAATGATTTCATTTGTTGACCAGCAATAAATTCAGCCTTATGTTATCAAAACTGCTACTTTATTATTACTTTAGATTTCTTTCTGTTTTCTTTCTTTTTCCTTTTTGTCAGATATGGAAATTTAAAGGAAAAGAAGGCACTATTTCTGGAAGACATTGCAACCTATGGAGACACATTCCTTCTCCTGCCAGCGTTTTCCTTCAGGGCCAATACGGGCACCTCTTTTAAAGTGTTCTACACACTAAAAGAGTCTAGAGCAAGACAAAAAGTTCTGTTTTTCCATCCCAAGTACCTGAAACATCTTGCCCTTTTCTGGAGAACTAAAGGTGTGACTGCATACCGCTTGTCCACCGGCTTGATGATCACAAGTGTTGCAGTAGAACTGTGTGAAAATGTGAAGCTGTATGGATTTTGGCCCTTCTCTAAAACTGTAGAAGACACACCTGTCAACCACCACTACTATGACAACACATTACCTAAGCGTGGTTTCCATCAGATGCCTAAAGAATATATACAAATCCTTCAACTTCATGTCAAAGGAATTCTGAAGCTACAATTTAGCAAATGTGAACTGGCCTAAACAAAGTGTGTGAAGATGGGAGTAATTTTAATATAATGCTATAGGTGACTAATAGTGTTTCTAGACACTAATGAAAGTGGTTACCAAGTAGATAACAAGAGCCCCCAAACTTAATTTGACCAAAGCTCCCTCACTAACTTTGCAACGTCAACAAGTCACCCAATTATTCTGATCTTTAGTTTCCTTCTCTGTAAAATAGGAGTCATGGTATCTGATTCACACAAGGAAATATGTAATTTATGAAAACTCTTGGCAAAGCATTTGGTGTGAGGTAGGGACTTAATAAATTTTTCCTTGTTAATGTTTATAATAGCCATCTCCATACTGACCATAGTGAAGATAAATAAATATGTTGTCTCCAAGACCCTTTCTAAAGAGAACAGTTAAATTGCCAGTATTCCTTGGGTTTCTTTCTCCGGCAGGCTTTTCTTTATTAGTAATATCTTTCCCACTTTTCTTTCTGTCTTAAAGAATGCATACAAGAAAACTATATACTTAAACAAGAGGTCGTTGATTCTTCAGGAATGAAATTATTTTCGTATAACAATGTGCCTGTTTCCGATTAAATTCCCTTGTGATATAAGCTGCAATGATGTGTTGTTTGGATTTAGATTATTTCCTTTCTTCCTTTATCTACATTTTTTATCACACTTTATAATTTTGTATAAACTTCTTGCCTCACTCCGATGCATTTTCTCTACTACTAACAGTATCTACTTCAAAGACATAAGACCAGTCTTACCTTTTGTCTTGTCTGTGGAGTCACTCATTCAATTTGATTTTTAAAAACTATTGAACAGCTACTTCTTGCCAGGTCTTCTCCCTGGGTCTGTGTGAGAAATAGAAAGATGACTCCTTCTAGTAGGAGGATATTGATTTGTGTATCATTAACTGTGACATGATATGCAAGTCCTATAATGACAAAAATTATGAATAAAATGCTACAAGGAACACAGAGAGGAATAATTAAATCTATTTCAGTGGAATCTATTTCAGTGTATCTATTTCAGAGAAGAGGTCATTTCCAAATTAAACTTTGATAATGAGTAAGTTAGTAATCAAGAAGATTCTAGGTAGAAGGAGTATGATAGAGGAAAAAGCTGTCCCCTTGATTTTGATTCATCAAAATGAGGATATTTGAAGACAGATTGTGGTCTTTGCCCCAGGAACTATTACAGGAGAAGAGGGTACAGTGTGTGGGATGGTGGCTTGAGCCCATGTCTGTGAAATAGAATAATATCAACTTGATTAATTTCACAGGAAGACTGTAAAGATTATAATGTACAAAAACTTAATTTTCACAAGGAAAGACAGATGCTTACATAAGAGATAGGACTCATAATTTAGACATCAAAATAAAATAAAACTTGAGTAGATACTGAATATTAGCACCCCATTGTGTTATAGCCATACATTTTAATATAGGTCACCTCTGCATTTACTGAGCAAGTTACTTCACTAAGTAATTATGTGCATAATTTCCTGCTCATTGTTGTACCATCAAAAGAAGACTAGAGGGCCAGTCTCATGGCCTAGTGGTTATGGGAGCCAGATTTCACATGGCCAATGAGTGGTCAAATCCCAGCCCTGGTGTCTAAAAACATGCCAGGAACATGTGTACATGTACCCCAAATGTTTTCAGGATGGAAACATGGAGTAGAATAGATTGAGGCATGGCCATACCCCACTGGGGGGGTGCTTTCTCCCTCTCTCTCTGTCTCTCTCTGGCAAGTGAGCACAGCCTCTGGCAAGAAAAAACAAAGGAAAGAAGAAAAAGAAGATGGGAAATACTGATAGGAGGGTGGAAAACTGGGTTGGCATGCCAAAATAATTAGAATTTTTGGATTTTACCTGAGCCAGATTATTGTTTTACTAAATGTTCACTTTAAGAGCACTCTGCTGCAAATTGTTCATTTTGATAAAGTACATCTTTACTTTGATTGTAGTTGACATATGCAGTGTTATTTTTAGTTCATATTTTCATTTGTTCTTTCATAGCAAATGAAATTTATTACTTCATAAATTGATCAAAAGTTTGTATATATTGTTTTCCAAGAGGAAAATATTTTCTGGTTACATAAAGTGCAATTTATTATTTTTCTCTTTGTGGCAAATAGGTAGCTTTCTCTGTTTTTTTACTAATGGATATAATTAGTTTTTAATAAGCTGTTAGCAGTACTTAAAATGTTTCAATCACCCACTCACAATGAATTTTTCAAAAATAGATCAGAACACTAGTATTTTATAGTTAGTGAAATGTTTTCCTCAAGATATTTTATGGCAAGTAAAAAATTATTTCTTTCTGATAATATTAGAAATATATGCCTGCTGAGTAAAAGTAATAGAATATATTTAAATAAATCATTAAATATACAATGTGATGATTTTATATGCTATTTTAATAAAAGTTACTTATGATTAAGATACAAAGAGCTTACTTACATTTTCCCCATATAATATCCTATTTGAACTTGGGAAATTTTCTCTAGCATATTAAAGAAAATCTCCACTGTCACTGATAGGGATTTCAGAAATATTCAAAATACATATGAAATCAAGGAGCATAATGATACTCATGTTCTAGTAAAATTCAGTAGAAAAAATTGGTTGAGATTTCATGGAGAAAATTATAGACCTGTCCACATGAGCACATTTGAGGTTTATTACTTGTTTAGCATTTATTTGTGTTGTCATTTTGAAAACATGTTTGAAATTGTGTAACAATCCTACTGATATGTACTAGTTAAGTCTTTGGCCAAAAAGACATTAAGAGACTTCATGAAAGGCTCACAATCAGACGTGGTAGAGGTTCATCTACAAATCTACAAGATGAAGTGTATAGTTTTTGTTTTGACCTCGGTGGAAGACTTGGCAGTAGTTCACCATAACAGGACAAAAAGAATGGTGACTTCTGTTTTATAATTTGCATAGCTAATATGCATAATCAAACTTATATTCTATTTCATGTGTTATATAGAACACATACAACTTGTTGTTTTCTTTGTATCTCTTTCCCAAGTTGATCTGTAGTTGTGGGGTTATCAGCCAATACATGAAGTTATCCTGAACCTTCTTCAGGGTAGTTAGTTTTTCAGGGAGAACTAAAGGGAATGAGAGGCCCATCTGCTTCATTCACATCATTACCTTCCCTTCCTGGCAGAGCATGACTTTCTATCGTGATGTGCCCATATGTCTTTTGGTTCTCGAGTGCAAGGTTACTAATGACATTCTAAAATAGCTTAGAACATGAACTTTGACAGTACGGTCTATCAGCCTTATAAATTGTGAAATGTAAGTTAAAGTTCTTCTTGTTCTGTTGTGGTGAATTATTGCAAGTTTTTCACCACGATCAAAACATAAAGAAAAACGTTGAACTCCATCTTGTACATTTGTAGATTAACTGCCCTAAGTCTGACTCTTGACACTCTCGGGAAATCTCGGTGTGTAATGAGCATTGCTTAAATGTCGTTAGATGTATTGAATTTGATCTTTGCTCTTAATGTTCATTTATAGGTATTGAAAATGGGAAGTCTGAGTACTGGTGGTAGACAGTAGTAGACCATTAGTTAGGATTCTACTCAGTCTACTGTGTTTGTTATCTGCCACATACAAATTAGAAGATGAATTTTGACAGTATGCATATTGGCTGTGTAAATTATAAAATACAAGGCACAGTTCTTTTTGTTCTATAATGGCGAACACTTTCTAAAGGAAATATTGGCTTGCTTGATTCTGTTTTCTACTTGTTGAAATGCAGTGAAATAATAAGATTTCAAAATAATTGCCAGTCAAATCCAAGTGTAAGACAGAAATATCCATTTAAGTCAATAGTCCAATAGTCCATTAGGCTATATGGTCCCTATACAGAACTCCATGAACAACTGCATAGTTTAATTTTTGCAAAACAGAATAGTCCTTGAAGTCCCCATTGTTTTATTTCCTTCGAACAAAAGGCAAAGACAAATAGATCATGACTTCCATTAAAGAAGATTTTCCCCTGCATGTAAATTCCAAGCTAGTAAATATGTGGCTCTCAGCCAGGTAATCAGTCAAGGATGATTTTTTTTTTTTGAGGACTTTCTATGTATAGAATTCAGAATTAAGTCATAAATCAGACTTGTTATTGCCTAGATTTTTTTCTTGTATACAAAAATTTTATCAGCTAAATACTCTATCATGTCAGATGCCCTACATCATTCTACGAATTTTAGGAAACTTTGAGAAAATCGAAATTTTGTGGATAACAGGTCCATTAACACCCTAAATAGCTCCTGCAGAAGTATGGTTATAATGTGATGTGTAATATAGTTATGACATTGAAAACATTTTATTTATGTAACATGATATGGAAACACATTATAATACTATGAAACATTGAAGGCATTGCAGGAACTTACCTAGTATATCTGGTGCACTAATAAGAGTGTTTTTCTTTTAAATATTTAATCAAAAATTTTTGTTTGGAGTAGGAGTGTTTAGATTTCTGTTTAGATGTGGTTTTAGAAGACTGATTCCATAGTCAGCAAGGTTACCATTACACTTCTGCGGGTAGAAAGGAATATTTCTCTTGCCCTTTCTTATTCTGGGTCATCACCCTTAAAAAGAATCCTTTAAGTTAAAAAATGAGTGGCATATGATAAAGACATACCACTTACATAATGGAGACAGAACAGATTCTTTAGTATATGGTGTTGGAACACTGGCTCATGATATGGAGAAAAATAAGAGCTTAGATTTCTCCACATAAAAAGCTGGAGTCCAGATAAATTAAAGATGGATTAAAAAGTAACACCATAAAGCGAGTAAAGGAACATATAGGTCAATTATATCTGAGCTATAGGTGAGGAACTGTACTTCTTAAATGTGACCCCAAAATAATCTTTTAAAGTATTAGGTTAAGAAATGATGGTGATGACTATGTTAAGGTGAATGATTTCTATCCAATGAACAGGATCTTAAATTAATAGGCTGGTAACAGATTGGAATAGTTTCAGCAATCCACAAAATTAGTGAAATTATAAAGAGCCATTTCAAAGAACTGTAAATCCACAAGTAAGACCGGAAATCCAACATTAATTTCAAAAAAATAGGGATGTGATTTACAAAGATAAAAGTTAACTAGCTAATAAGAATAGAAAGTAATTATCAAATTTACTAGTAATCTGAGTAATGCAAATTAAAGTGAGATACTACATTCATGATATTGGCAAAAATCAGTAAGGCCAAGTGCTAGTAGAAGAATTAAGTGATTCAACCAGTTTCAAAAGCAATTTGGAAATACTGGGTTAGTAAAATTGATCATGTATCTATTCTGTGGTCCAGCAATCACACTTTGGAATATATGTCAGAAACCTTTTTTTTTTTTTAATGGTAGAGAGCACATGCAGAAGAGAGAGACAGAGAGAAAGGAGAGAGAGAAAAAAAACCCTTGACAGGGTCTCATTACACTGCAGTCCCCCTTCCCCAACCCTCCAGCCATCTTAAGATCTTAGGCACCTATGTGTACCAGCACTTTCTAAGCCAACCCAGGGATCTACACGTGTGGTCAGCGATGTGGCTTCCAGAACAGCAGTCCAACATG